TTCCTGCTGTTGGGTGTGGCCTATTATGCTAATGAGTTCCTGCTGGGCCTTTTCTACAAAAAGAGCCCTGAGTCAAAACCCTCATCCTTTGAGCTAACTGGCTGCTTTGTTTAAGATGAAGAGAAAGGCAAACATCTTGCAAAACCTTTAACTGCAGGCCCAACCCCTCCCTCTGTGATTCTGCAAAAAGAAAGGGAAGGGAAGGGGGAAATCTAACCCACACATGCAAGACTGACACATTTGGGAGCAGGGAATCCCCCAGTCCTTTATATGTACTGATTCCTTCTTATGCTCTCTCTGGATTTTTAAAAGTTTGCCTAAGTGGGAGGACACGTCCTCTCTTGTCTTTGGAGAAGGAGGGGAAAGAGAACAGCCTAAAGAGAGAGAGGTGGAAACAGGGCGAGGGCAGCGGGCAGCACTTAAATACCCGCAGAAACAAATTCTACTTTAGAAAGGATTAGTGATTTGAAAGCTGATGAGAATAAAGAATCGCTGCAAAAGAAGTTTTGGGAACTACGGGGAAGCAGTGTGCTGGAAGCGGTCCGAATGCAGATCGCTGTAAAACGTAGGCAGAGATAAGAAATGGCCCCGACACAAACCAGAAGTGGAAGCTGGAGGGAATGTAGAACAGACACAGAATGGGAATGCAGAACGGAGAGGAATAAACCCAAGCCGGTTGCCAACACAGAGGCAAGAGAAGGGTGTGACGGGAAGGAAGGTTGAGGCGCTGGGACTGGCTGGCAGCCCACTTTGGCGAGACAGGGTGAGTCCGGACCCACACCCCTATGCCATTCTCAGACTGGCTTTCTCGTAGAACCGGTTACTGACCAGAGCAGGATGCAAATTCAGCCTCCGTAGGACAACACCTGCCATTTATGCTTCACGCAGTGTGGCCTGGCAACCCATAATAATGCCTCTGAAAGCTCAGTCGGATGAGATGAAGGTCACACCTCTCGTTCCATCAGTAAAATGCAAATTGCCCACACACACGGAGCCTCGGTTTGCCTCAGAGTTATGAAGGGAGGCCAAGTCCGTTTCTGAGAGAATGGGAGCAAATGTGGTTGTGTGATGCAATGCTTCCCTAAAGACAGAGAGTAGTGTGGTATGCTTAGAGTTGTAGCTGGAAGCGCATGTGAAGTGGCCAGTGGGCTTCTGGTGTCAGGATGTACTTAGGGGCTTCTGGTGTCAGGAGGTACTTATTGTGTCCAGATCAAGGGAGGTGGTGGTTCCGCTCTATTCTGCTATGGCCAGGCCTCACCTGGAGTCCTGTGTCCAGTTTTGGGCACCACAATTTAGGAAGGATGTTGACAAGCTCGAGCATGTCCAGAAGAGGGCAACCAGGATGGTGAGTGGGTTGGAATCCAAGTCTTACAAGGAAAGGCTGAAAGAGTTGGGTCTGTTTAGCCTGGGAAAGAGAAAGCTTAGAGGGGACCTGACTGCAGTCTTCAGATATCTGAAGGGCTGTCATGGAGAAGATGGAGCGGATCTATTCTCTCTTGCTCTGGATTGCAAGACTAGATCTAATGGGTGGAAATCACAAGGGAGTCATTACCGGCTAAATATCAGGAGAAACGTCCTAACTGTGGTTGAGCAGTGGAACAGTCTGCCTCGGGAGGTGGTGGAGGCTCCTTCGCTGGACGTTTTCAAGTGGAGGCTGGACGACCATCTTTCGGGTGTGTTGTAGGTATATAGAGCTGTCTTTCAGCTATGCTCCTGCAGAGGGCAGGGGGTTGGACTAGATGACCTGCAAGGTCCCTTCCAACTCTCACATTCTATGATTCTACGTGCCCATCCTGTTGCTGTACAGTGGCGCCCAGGAAATGGACTTATTGTGTGGATGCTCCCTCTAAGCTGTGGAATCTTGTGAGCGAAAATTCTCCTTTCTGAGCTCCTGGCATTAAAGTTGTGAGCCAGTGATTTGGCTGCTGTATGAATTAGTATGCTTTGGAGCCATCCTTCCTGAGCTAAGGCAAAAATGTGTGAGCCGGAGGCTAAAGAACTGTGAGCTGGCTCACACTCACTCACCTTAGAGGGAACACTGGTGTGGACTAGTCTGGGCTCCGGGGGGAAGTATTGGTGATTCAAGGTCCGTGGGCAAAAATACAGGATGGGAACTCAGAATCGCCGCTACCCAACTGTTGCCTCCAAGCAAGGGTGTCCCTTGCCCCATGCAAGGTGGGCAGGAGGCCACCAGTGTAACTGAAAGCCAGTCGCCCACATCCCAGACAGGGCTGGTGCAAGCAGTGACGGAAGCCTGTTCTTCTTGTCCACTCTCCTTGGGGGCAAGCAGGGGCAGTTGCCCCTGCTCCATGATAGGGCCTGGGGCAACTGCCCCTTCTTGCCCACTGGGTCAGACCACCCCTAGAAACTCCAATTAATAGTGCGTTGAAAGTTGTTGAAGTCCTGGTCAAATCTTCTGAGAGCTACCATCTGATGTCTCCAGATGTTGAAAATGTCATTGATAAATCTCAAGTACAGAAATGCTAATAGGTAGAAACATTAGGAACATAAGAGAAGCCATGTTGGATCAGGCCAGTGGCCCATCCAGTCCAGCACTCTGTGTCACACAGTGGCCAAAACCCAAGGGGCCATCAGGAGGTCCACCAGCAGGGCGAGAGCTCCAGAAGCCCTCTCACAGTTACCCCCCCCCCAAGCACCAAGAAGACAGAGCATCACTGCCCCAGACATCAGAACATAAGGGAAGCCATGTTGGATCAGGCCAGTGGCCCATCCAGTCTCAGGTTGCGAAGGCTGTTTCAGAGAAAGGCTCTTTGCAGTGGGAGAAAGGTAGCCGAGCTGATTCGTAAGGTCCAACCTCACAGCAGTTCCAGCAGTTCTTCTGCTGTGTCCTCCTTCCAGGTGAAGGAAGAGAAAAAGATCATTGTGAAGATTCTCCTGGATGCTTTGTACGATGCCCAGGTGGTGCGAGAGAGCCTGCAGGTGCTGGCTGTGGTTCTTCCTCACCTGAAGGAGAAGGACGTTTGCTCATGCTTTAAAAACATCACCATGAAGACCTCAAGCTACCTGGATGACGTAAGTTGACGCGTCTAGCTGCACCTCTCCATCGTATCTTGTCCACAGTCTCCCTCGTTCTGCGCTCTCCTTTTAATCCATGTTTACCGCGGTGTCCTCCAAGCAATTCTGCACTAAAATGGAAATCAACCTTCTTTTTAATCCAGTCCCCCCCCCAGGCTTGCCAAGTCCCCCCGGGAGGTGGGGAAACCCCCGCCCGAGAGGCCCGTTACCCACTGCCAGCGGATCGGGCCCCGAGGGGAACCCCACCCCCAAAGCACGCGACGTGCCCGGCATGAGTACGTCACCCGGAGGTGACGTGATAGCATCGGGCACATTGGGGGCGGGGCCACAATCATCCAAGGGAAAACTCTGTGGCTTCCCCTTGGATGAATGTGGCCCTGCCCCCTACGTGCCCGATGCGATCACGTCGATTCCGGGTGACGTAATCGCAGCGCGCACGAGCTTTGCGCACGCGCAGGGACTCCCAGACCACTGCTAGACTCCCCCATTCTTCTTAAGGTAAGGATTTGGCAACCCTAACCCCCCCCCCAATTCTGCACTAAAATCGAGTTCAACCTTCTTTTTATTCCGGTTCCCCCCCCCCATTCTGCATTACGTTCCCTCCCTTCAGTGGTCAGCCCGGTTTCAGCCTGCTGTTGCCCCCAGGTTATTTGGAGGCCGTTTTGCCGTGGGCTGATTCTACATTGGTTTTCCCCTCCATTTTTTTCAATGAAACCCACATTGGAACAGGAATTCCCCTCTGCGTTGCATGCCGCTTCCGCTTCCTTTGATCGTCAGATTTTATGGTACCTTCTGGCATAGATTTATGGTGGTTTTATGGCCGTTCCGGGTTGACTTTGCAGTCAGTACAGCCAGGGCTATTTCTGGGCAGGAACGCACAGGAACGGAGTTCCGGCTGGCTCCCAAGTTGGCCACGCCTAGCAGGAAGTCATTAGCATAATAGGACACACCCAACAGCAGAAACTCATTAGGATTGGCTACATTCGGGGTGTGTGGCCTAACATGCAAAGGAGTTCCTGCTACAAAAAAAGGCCCTGGGTTTTGACAACAAACAAGGTAAACAGAATAAGAAGCAAAAGGTGGGTGTGGCTGGATGACCACACTTCTGGTAACATGGGGGTGTGGCCTAATGTGCTAATGGGTGTGGCTGGATATGCTAATGATGGGTGTGGCTGGATATGCTAATGAGTTTCTGCTGTTGGGTGTGGCCTATTATGCTAATGACTTCCTGCTGGGCTTTTTCTACAAAAAAAGCCCTATGTACAGCATTGCCTCGAGGTATTTCGATGTGGTTTGGAGCTGCATTTTTTCCTCCCAATTGAGAGGAATGTGGAGCATGACTGCTAGATGCAGAATCGCCCGTGGACTTACATTGCCTTGTCTCGAACACAGAAAATCCAGAGTCGCAGGCGAATGCAGAAAGTCTGCTCCTTCTCCCTTCCTTTCTTTATGAGATTTGTGACGGCGGCGTTCAGATTTCATACCCACGTACAGGGCTCCTTTTGTAGCAGGAACTCCTTTGCATATTAGGCGACACGCCCCTAATGTAGCCAATCCTCCGAGAGCTTACAGAGCTCTTCTTACAGGGGCTACTGTACGCTCTTGGAGGATTGGCTACATTAGGGGTGTGTCGCCCAGGGTTCATTCCCTGCAGGAGCGCACAGGAGCGGAGCTCTGGCAGTAAAGAGCCCGGGGGGCGGGCACATGCAACAAGCCCCACCCCCTGCTCCCAGCAGCCCTCAGTCAGAGCAAGAAGCAGCCAGGTAAGCTGCCGAGCGC